AGGCTGCCAATTCAGGCACCAATTTACGACCAATATTTTTCTTGGCATTAAAAAGCTACTGAGCTAAAAGATTTGATTTCCAAACGGGAACTCTGGGGAACCACACCAAAACAGCCTCTGGAAAGAAACCACGCAGCCAAAGAGTCTTCAGCACTTCAAACACTTCACTGGAAGCTAAAAGAGATTAATTCTGAAAATCTAACTGCTGTTTACTTTGCCCTTTATGAGGGTTTTTTTTTTTTGGTAGGATAACATTTGGTGAGAAAGTGTCAGAGTCGGTTTTACTCGAGGCCTGTTGTTTCCCCACAGACCAGGGACTCTTCGAGGAGGTCTTCCCCCAGCAAACCTCCCTCCCGCTCTTCTAACTTGAGCAACAGATTGACGACCAGCCATGAAGTGCACCCTGTTCCACGAGGCCATCAAACATTTATTCATCTCTTAAGCTCCTGCCAGCAACTTCATTCACAGACCCTGGGCACTGCACTGCGCTGGGTTGGGGCAGAACATGTTAGGTTAACATAAAGACAATGCAGTGAATTTACACATATAAACTCAAGCCAGTGTGTGTGTTTTCATATTAAGAAACGCACTTGTGAGGGTTTTTTTTTTTTTTTTACCACTGAATGGAAGACTGTCTTGCACCATAAATCTGTCCCTCACTGGGAAGACAAAATGAAAATGGCCCCCGTCATAAAACATCTGTAATGGTTCCATCTACCACCAACACATAATGGGGCAATTACCAAGAAGGGGGCTGGGACAGCATGAAGCCCTTAGCTCTCTTTGGTAAACCACACAGCGCTTTGGTGTATGTGTTTGTGTCTCACATGCATATGTCTCTGCATATGCTTATGCTTTATCCTGGCTTGAGGCCTCTGCGTGTAGATGTTCGCTTGAGGCCCAGAGAAAACTATGTTGCAATGTTCCATTTTTAACCTGTTCACTGACCCCTGGATGCTTCTCCCCTATGAAGCCCCACTGTCCATTCCCACAGCTAATATAAAATTGCATTATTGATGCCTGATCTTATGCAAGACCCGGCTCGGGCCTTGCATCTTCCACACCTCGTAATCAAGCGTAATTGAGGTTAACTGTACCACACGGTTGAAACGTTAGACAGGTAAGCCGCAACCTCTCATGATTAATGTAGTGTGTTAGTGTTCTGGGCTCTGACCTTTTGAGATAGGCCAGGCACCATTTTTAAGTGAAAGCTCTGCCTCTGCCGAGCTGTGGAGTTGTCCATCAAGTCCTCCTGCTACACCCCCTCCCTCCAAAGTCAGATTCATGTCTTGCTGCCTCATTGCCCCTGACCCATGTTTGTTTGCCTCTATGTCTTGTTTTACAATGCAGAACCAACACCTTTTTCGATATCACCCATTTTCAAATCATTTTTAAACCTATGTAGAGCAGTAAAAAAGTTAATCGACACTGAGTCGGTGTCAATCAGGACAGAAAGAATGGCACAGCTGGCACATCAGATTCTTTTCTAAGCCATAAACGGTTTTTCCAGCATAATCTGGGGTCACTTTGCTGATTAGTTCTTGTTTTTTCCTTAAAGGTTGCTACCACAAAACATAAACTTTAGACCTAACACATACTCGAGTGGCCCAAGCATGTAGGCCAGTGAAAGCTATGAGTCAGGCGCCCGCTGGTCAGTGACCTTCCCTCTGTTCTCGAGCCGCTGCACGGATGTAAACTGGCAGCGAGGTTACGTCCTTACCGTGCTCCCAAACATAAGCATTGTCACTGCGAACTGAGTAAATTTACTTTTCACTTGAGCTCATTCAGACACTCACACATGCGCTCTCGTAAAGACAAAAAGATGGACTCTGAGCACACAAGAAGACAAGCTGCCTTTATGCAGAGATCCACAGGAGAACCTAAAAGGTGCGCTTGTTAATCAAGGATGGCGAAGACCTGGGTCACCATCTGTAACATAGACCAGGGGCAGTGAATGGATGAGGAGGGGTGAAAGGGCACCCTCAGACATTCCTTTAGAAAATAAACAGAACACAAACTGGTTTCTCTGGACAGGTATTCAACGCAGATCCATCAGCCTGAGCTTTTGCTGTTTCTTGAAGGTTCTAAATGTGTTTTAATGTGACGCTACAAAGTAGACTTTCATGCTCGGGAAAACAATGCTCTATTGCTTGAAACATTTAAGTGGCATTCGACTGCAACTGCAATAAGATACACTTCCTTCATCCTCACATTTCAAAAGCCCAGTTGGGAGTGTGTTTAATGCAATTAGCAGGTTATCTGTGGTGAAGCGGAGGTGTCTGCTGTCTTCCTGTTACCGTATGGCCTGGCAGGAGGCAGGGATAGCTTTCTTTTGTACCTTGGAGGAACACAAGGCAGATGCCCTGTTAGAAGAGAGCAGCCCAGTCTCTTTTGTTACATCATAGCTGTTTAGGGTTTGGGGGTGTTTGTCCAGACTTTATTAAATTTCTCTGCTCAGACAATGACTGCTAACCTGAGCAGTTTGGGTTGTCTTTTTGCAAAAAAAAAAAAGAAGAAGAAGAAAAGAAAAGAAAAGAAAAGAAAAGAAAAGAAAAATTAAGAAAGAAGAAGAAGGAAACCTTACAAATACATTTTTACTTTTTTATGACTCACTGCAAAGACAAAAAAAAAGTGACCTCTGGCATTAAAGCAGAGGCAAGTGCATTAAATGTTTAGGGGCCAGCCCCCGCCTTTGTGTTTGAGCCAGTGGTTCAATGAAAGGCAGCAGTAGGGGTCACTTCAGGCATCTGCTCCTCTCCTGCACCACTCATCTGCCCATCTGTGTGTGCCGTTGCCCTTCTGTCCACTCAGACACGCTCACAGATACACAGATACGTCTAGAGGCTCACACTCGCTGAATAATGTGGGGTAAGTCTGTGAGAGTCAATTTATTCTGCGTCTGTTTGAACCCAGAGAAGCACCACCTTGCACTGCCTTGGAAAGAAATGTCTGGCTTTATTATTGAAGGGACGACACTATCTGGGAAACCGGAAATGGAGGTCAAATAAATAAATTATATGTGAGGAAAGAAAACTGTTAAATAAATTGACTGTATTCTTACTGGAGTGTATCAGTAGCAGTTTAAAAGTCAGACCTCGGCCAAATCTAAGCATTCTCATCTGTGTTTTCATGTCTCCAGTGAGCAAGTCAAAGCACAGCATCTAAGCCTTCGCAGAGCATTTTCTAATGCTTCTTAATGCCGGTTTAATACGTTTCTGTACTCGCTTAGAGGTCCCTGCTGTCTGGACGATCAGTGTGATTTATGCCTTTCCTGTCGCTGCTGAGGGCATCACTGATAAGAGAGCCGTTAAGTATGAGGAGCATTTATGTCTCCAGAAGAGCCGAGACATTTTCTAAACTCTTGGAGACGCTCCCGGGCTTTCACTGAGTACAGCACCTTGTAGATCTTCACTTGGGCAGCCTTACAGTTCTCTCAAGAGGAGCCTCCATGCACAGATGTGGGGTGTCAAGACTATTTGTGTTATACATTCTCCACATTTCTGATGAAAAGGACCCCTCTCTTTGCCAGTTTTGGTTTGCTTAGACTAATGTATTAGGACCGAGTTTCAAATAAACACAACTCTGGTTTTGTGCTCTCTCGCTCTCTCTCTCTGTGCTCGGTGTGGATGAAGGGACAATAACGCAGTTGTGATGGAGAACTTTATAGGAACGTTCAACTTAAGAGTGAGGGATTGAAGCGGGGTAAACAAAGCATTCCTTTCCCTTTCATCGCCATTTAACTGTTCCCTTAAAATCCCGTCTCACCTCCAGGCCAGTGCCCACCAGACCGAGGGACTTGTCAAATAAATATAAATCAAACAGCAAAGGTTTACTGCACGAGTTAATACGCAATAGCTTAGAAATTTCAACTTGATTGAGCAACTTTACAGTTTCTCTAATCCACAATCAGCTGCAAAGTCTTCATCTCTGGTGCGGAAAAGAGTCCTGTGGTGGTGCACCATATCTCTCACAGTAGCGCCCCGTTGATGGTTCTCCAGACATGTTTTGTGCATTTTATGTTCAATATAGGTATTTGTTGTGCCTGAAAATGAACAAATAAATGAAATGAATGAAATGATGAAATGTGGCCTGTTTGGGGTGGGGGGCATTTGGTTATACTCAGGGGAATGCTTGTTGTGTCAGTCATCTGCAGCGGCCGCTAAAGAGTGCACTTAGCATCCTCTGTTTCCGCGTAGCAAACATGTGGGGAGTGACATGATACTGTACAAGAGCCTGGACAACATATAACATTTCAAAGCAATTTCCTAATTGTTTCCAGGCCAAGGTCGATAGCACTCTATGGAAGCTATCCCTTCTTTCAAACTTTTTTATTTTCCTTCTTTTGCTTTCTTTTTTTTTCCTGTTTTCATCCACAGATTGGAAAACATTAAAGTATTAAGTAAACTTGACCCAGGCAGGACTAATTCATTGAGAAATAGCTGCATTCAGTGTCATATCAGTGACAGTCAAGTCAGTGGATTCCCCTCGCTGTGGATGGTCACCATGTGGGGCAATTCTGACACATCCAGTCAGTGCACACTTACATTTGTGGTCTGTGATGAGAACGTGTTCACTAAGACCAGATCTGACCTGCCAGGAAACGTGTATGTGGACCGGATGCACTTTGTACATCTCATTCAGGGAATAAAAGTAAAACTACTCAGAGAGACTCTAATGAAGTAGTATCAGGTGATTCTTTTTTTCTTCAGGTAATGAGAGGAAGGATTTTATTAAGATAAAAATAGAATATAGATAGAATATTGCGAGAGTGGGAAAATGAATGAAAATGAAGGGTGGAAAATGCAAGGGATTAAGAATCAGTAATGCAAGCAATTTAGTGTATCAACAGATTAAAAAGACATCTTATTGCCTTCCCATAGCTTCCCCAGAAACTAATCCCCTGCAAAGTTCTTACTGGACTTAAAAACACATCAAATTAATGCAAAAGAATTTTTCTTAAAAGAATAGTTGGCATCAATCATCAGAAGGCCAGACTGGTGGGCTTTCTTTTGAATTTTATTTGTACAGTAATGGTGTGGAATATTAGCCAGTAATATATGTAAATAAATGATCTTATATATCATTGTAAAAGCTCTTTACACTCTAACTGAATGCACCTCCTATATGCAATTATGAGGTAGACATTAATAATGGTATTTTCCACCCTCTGCAAAATATCAATACACCTTAAATTACTCTTATCCACGTAAGAAATATATGATTATCATGAAAACTCTGTACATCACAAATAATAAAATAATTATAGAATAGAAATTATACCGATTTGAGTGCATTTTTGTACATTTACAAAGAAATGCCGTTTTCTCATTTCTTCATTCGTTGCACTTTGTAGAGTTCTTTTGGGGCGGGGGACTGTACAAGTATTTACAACTCAAACAAACAAAAAGAAAACGAACAGCAGTGCATTCAAAGCTAATGTGCATTTAAATAACGTCTCGTTTGCGAGTCCTTTTTCTTTTTCTTGTCTTTTTTTAATATTTTGTTTTTTCGTCATCAGAGAAGACGAATTCAGCTGACCACATGTCCTTGGCGCAGTCAGTTGTGGAAGTGCATTTTGTAAAGATGCCGACTTTTGAGCTTGAAATTACGCCTCAGTTATGTGTTCTTTCTTTCTTTTTTTCTTTCATTCACGCATTAAGTCTGATTTTGTGTCCTTTCTGTCCGTAAATGCGCCCTCTCCCAGCGCCTTTCAGATGGTCTCCAGTAAGGAAAAACAAGAAATCTCTTTGAAGGCATTGCCACCACCACCACCATCACGACCACCGTCTTATCACCTCTCCTCAGACCAGTCTGTGTTTGTGTTTGGTAGATTAGATCAACCCCTTCATTTTTTTTTTATTTATTTGTTTTTTTTTTTACAACGGGCACTTGCTCGGGCCTGTAATGACTCCAGCTGGACAGTTACATTTGAGGCCTGGATGCACATACCCAAAAGAGTCCGGCCAGGCTGCCAGGATCACACGCTACAACAAAGCGCTGCTTAAAGGCAAAGCCCGCTGTCCTCGGCACGCACATGTGCGCAGTCGGACTTAATAGTTCCCCCCATCTCAATCAGAACGCCCTTCTCCTCGTGCCATGTGGACACATCGCACTTTTTGGGAAAAAAACAACAAGAAAAATCTATTTTATGATACTTGACGCCTAGTTGGGAAATATTGTGCTTAACACTTTAAGGCAGAGAGTGAAATTTAATGCGACTGAGTCTGAATAAATAAAAGATATGGCCTCGTGTGTGTGTGTGTGTGTGTGTGTGTGTGTGTGTGTGTGTGTGCGCGCGCGCGCGCGCATCCCTTTTGAATAAAAACAAGGCGCATCATGCGTCAAAACGCTTTGAGACCCATGAGGACTTTCTACCTTCAGCCTTGAACCCACTGAGAGTATCTTTAACAATCTTCTGTTGTTGTTTTTTGTTTTGTTTTTTCACAATAATGGCCGCTACCTGCACCCACACTGCTCCACCACCATATCCTCGTACTGTTTGTACACCACGTTATTGCCCGAGTCTATGTACAGGATGCTGATAGGGCTGAGTTTGGTGGGCACGCAGCAGCTGGGCGGGGTGCTGTTGGGGTCCATGGAGTTCATGAGCGTCTGTATGATGGCGTGGTTGGTCGGCTCCAGGTGCGACCTCAGGGGGAAGTCGCACACCCCCTCGCAGTGGTAAGCCTCGTAATCCAGGGGTGCAATGATCCAGTCGTCCCAGCCAAGCTCTTTGAAATTCACGTGCAGAGCCTTTTTGCTGCACCTGGATTTGGATTTCTTCCCGTGCCGCTTCCCGTGCCGGTTGCCCAGCGCCGTCCTCCTCCGCCGCCTGGGCCCTTCTCCTTTGGCCCCAGTCAGCGGAGATACCCCCTCCTCCTTTGCCACCTTCACTTCCTTCTCACTGACCGACCTCCGCGACTTGATCTGCTCCTTCATCTCGTTGAACAGGTTCTCCCTCTTCTTGGAGCGGGTGTAGGCCACCAAGATGGCCTTCTCCTGCTGGGACCGGCCGCTCCTGTCCAGCCCCAGCTGCCTCAGGTCGACCTCGGTGTCCGATTTGCCCAGTGTGACCCTTAGCTGGAGGCAAAGCTGGTTCTCCTGCTGATAGTGACGAGAGCGATGGGGGTGGTGATAATGATGCTGGCGCGCTTTAAACACTTCCCACACGTCCAGCACTTCCCAGCCGGCTTTCGTGGAATCCAGCAGGTCCAGGGACCTGGAGTCCAGCAGCTTGTCTGAGCGACAGGGGTAGAGCTGAATGTCGTAGAGGCCCGTCTTCTGCAGGGAAGTCTGCAAATCCCCGGGCGCTCTCCTAAATATCCTTAATTCCGCCCCGACCAGCTCCTCTTTTTCTGAAAGGGTTGAGACATCAAACAGATACTTTTGTCTTCGCAGAGGAGAGTGCAAAAGATCGTCTGCGGGGATAAAAGGAGAAAATAATTGCAGTCAGATTCACTTAGGGTGTACAGTGTTCAGAGGGAGGACGGGAGGGGTGAGAGGAAGGAGGGGGTCGGGGGGTGGGGGGCTCACATTCTCCCACAGAGGCCTTCTCTCTCTTTCTTGTTGTTCAAATGTCCACCCTGGACCTGACTGAAACAAACTGCAGCTGACAAGTCCCCAGTCTGGAGGGGAATTGAAAAAAGAAAACAACTCATACCATTATATGGAACTTAAAACAATTGTTTTTCTCGAAATGACGCCTTTTTAAAACTTTTATAGGGCTAAAGGCGGGATGAAGGTTAAGCTCACAGAGTTTATTTGAAAGCTTCCTTATATAAAATTTGCGGTTTCTTAATTTAATTTCCTGCAAAACGTGCACGTATTTTGAGATGAATTATAAATTCTGTCTTTTTTTTCCCACTTGATATCACATTTCTCCGAAAATCACGGGAATGACGTGAACACTTTTTATAAATATTTTTTTTGCGAACAAAACTCCAGAACAACCTGCCAATATTTGCATTCCGTGCCACTTTTAATCAAAGCCAGTGTATTTTCGCAAAAATACCCACGCTTTCGTTCAACATGCTGACAGACCGATCATTAATTTCCACTTCTCTGGCTGAGCAGAAGAAGCCTGAAACTATTATTTCCCTAAAAGTCTGAGAAGCAGCCAGAGCACCAGAAAAAAAATGTATTTAGTTTTCTCTTCTTTTTTCTTTTTTGGAGGAGGGGGAGAGAGATTTATTGCTGAGACTTGTTTGTAAGAAACCCCCCCCCCCCCCCCCCCCCCCCCCCCCCCAAAAAAAAAAAAACAAGGGCCTTTGTGATGCGAAGGGTCCTCAGCGCTGCCAGACACTAACGGACCAAGCGACATACTGTACACTCAGCTGAACAATACACAATTAATGCATTATTCCCCACTGGAGACCCAGGAGGTCAACAAATATTTCATCAAGGCGAAGCAATGAGACTGGAATTTAACACCGAGACAGGCTGCATGAGAAGGTGTTAGCACGTATTCAATTTCTCATTTAATGGAAACATTTTATTTAATTTTGTGTGTGTGTGTGTGTGTGTGTGTGTGTGTGTGTGTGTGTGTGTGTGTGTGTGTTGAAAGGGGGAAAAACTGCATCTATGGCGAATTTTTTCGCCCTCCCCGGTGCTTTTTACTGTTTTCGAATTTTACCCCAAAGGAGCTTCAACAGTTTCAGTAAAACACAAAAAAGTAATTTAAAAAAAAAGACGAAAAAATGAATTTAGATTTAATATATGAAATGTTAAAGTTTTATTAAACAAATATCTCAACATGTTTCAACTGTTTGTGATTTACTGCGCACTTTTTTAGTCAAATCAGTATTTTATCGTGATTCTTTTTATTATTATTATTCATTCATATTATTAAAGTGACTTGGCTAGATCGAAAAGCCCTCGTGGTCTGATTTGTAAAAGTTACTCCATAGAGATATTTAAATGCGGTTGTCAGTTTCCCCTGTGATCTCAGCCGAGTCAGACAGTAAAAGCAGATTGAAACCTTGTGCTCCTTTCAGTGACTTTGCACGTCTGGTTTGCATTACTTTTTTTTATAAGACCTCAAACAAATCGAATACAAGTTCACCAAATAATTAACAGTTCTCAATTCCCATATTCCTCATTAAAGTACTTTCCCTCTTATATTTAATCTCATCCCTGCCAACGACAACATCCCCCTTAAAACGCGAAGGGGACTGTCAGTGACTGACTGCAGGAATTATTTTGTTATTTTTGTAGACAGTTAAAAAAGAAAGTTACAAACTTTTCTTCATTTGAGTATTATACACAAAGCCAATTTTTTCCATTATGCGTAACACGCTTGACGGCGGATAATTGGGGGAGAGTGCGGTAGATTTTATTGCGTGGTTAAAGCCTGCATCCTGTGCACTTTTTTGTGACCTTGTTGGTTGTATCTGAGCAAATGCAAACCATGTTTTTGTCATCTATGCCTGTTTAGAGAGAGAGGGGGATAGAGAAAGAGAGCGAGAGAGAGAGAGAGAGGCCAGGCTGCACCATCTGCGCTTTAATGAGTTACCCCAAGTGCCAAAAGTAATTTTCAGAATCGGGTTATTCTTTTCTGATCTTGCCTTTTCTGACCTCCAGGAAACACCGCCTGGTTAATAAGCAAATTTCATCTATCTAAAAAAAATGTAAAAAGTGTGAAAGCAAAAGAAGCTACAGGTCTTTTTTTTTAAAAAGCTATCTCTGCACGCATGAGTCATGCGCAAAAGTTACTACTTTCCGCGTCAAAAAGCCTTCCCCCGTGTTTCCTGATGGAGGTGATTCAAATAGGGAAATGTCCCAGCTGAGGTTCATTGTGCAGGTTAATTCAGTGCAACACTTTAGGGATGCTGGGAGGAATCCCAGAAGTAACCGAAGGTACTTGAGCTGAAAGAACGGAAAGAAAAATAATTTTCCGTAATTAAAGTGGCGGTGGCAAAAAAAAGAATACAAACCACTTCACAGCGACGAAACTTCCCTTTCGATTTTTTCCTCTCTCGTCATTTTTTTGGTGATGTGCCCATTGTGGCCGAGTTGGGTCATTATGGGAGAATAGACAGTGTTTGATATGTTATGACATGAACACTCAATTAGATCACCGAGTTCAAATACTCCAGTCAGCCGTTCGATGCCAAGCAGCTCTCAGAGGGTCCAGCTCGGGGTCACAGCTAGTGACACATCACATCAAAATCACAGGAGAGAGTGAGGCGTTTTTCCTATCAAACCAGCTCACACTGCAAGAAATGGCTGCACGGACGAGCAAAACAAATTTACAATCACCCCAACAAAGTCTCTCTCTTTTTTTGTTTTTTTCTGTCTTAAAAAGAACACAAGCGTGAGAGAACCGCTTTTATTTTCATTGCGCATTTTTGGTTGCTTTCTATGAACTTGAAATACATCTATTTAAAAATCAATTTTCTTGACAAGCGAAGAAAAACATTTGATTATTAGTTAAATCATTTCAATTGCGCATCATTGGGGCTGATATGCTTCCACGGAACAGCTCAGGATGGACATTTTTTGCAGCGCGCAGTCTGCGTCCTGGAGCCGAGGCTCGGAGTGTTTCAGACAGGAGGGGACGCAAACAAAGATAGCTTTTATTTCTCCCTCAAAGATTAACTCGGCGTATGTCCCCTTGTGTGTGTTGGATGTGTTAGTGTTTATCAGATTGTGTTTGTTCTCGCGGGCCGGTCAAATCACTTGGTTACACACGTTAACTGAGCCAAACACCTGCTTCTCACACCGACCCGCTTCTTCCCCCGGCCCTCCCAGCCCCTCTTTGTCAGAACAAGTTGGTCAAACTGGGCACCATGAAGGCAACAGATTCCACGCTTTAATATATGTGGGACTGGGGTGCTTGCGTTTGAAACTCGGATAATTATTTAAGGATTCTTGGGTAAAAGAACCGAACACGAAACTCACAGCAAGTGTTTTAAGTTGGGGGGGGCAAAAGTTCTCTGTGTTCACGTGGAGGTTGGGAGCGGGGATAGCTTTTGCTACAGCCTGCATTGACAGTGATTTACAGCTTTCATCTAGAGAGCGCCTCAATTAGTGTTTTACTGTCGTGTTGCCCAGAGGTTAATTTAAGTGTAATATAATACTCGAAAGAAAAGTTATATGTTTCAGTCAACCGTGGGGAAAACACATCCAAAAATAAATAAATAAATAACCACGAAAATCAGCGCAGTGTTCAGGAGCAATGAATAAACCTGCAACTTTCAAATCTTTGCTTTTGTTCAGCACATTTTTTAAGAATCTCACTGGATACTGTGTGCGTAAAAGTCCGCCTGCACGGTGCTTTAAAGTGTGCGTAAAAGCAGCTTGTTCTTCACTCGTTATGCGTTACTGTCATTTCTTAGCAACATTTTAACAACCTCTACAAGGAGAATATTAAACCCGTCTGAAGGTGGGTGGGGGAGTGGGGGGGGGGGGACTGTGCCACAAAATTATGCAAGACTGAGCTGATGGAGACAGCAGCTGAAAGAAACCAACCTGTTCCTCTGTCCACAAAACTTGTTATGGTGTTGGCAGATTTAGAAGAGCGGAAAAAGCTGGCGTTTAGTCCGAGTTTCTCTGCAGCAGAGTATGTCCTGTATATGGAGAGCATGTACTCATGCGGAACAATAGCGTCCTTTAGATCTTCTTTGTGGTGTCCCGCGACAGGATGAGAGGACGCGAAGATGTCTTTTAGGAATTTGGAAGAGCTTTGTCCATCCTGGTGTGGGATCCTGGCACCCCTGTTCCTCCTCGGCGCAGAGGGAGAGATGATAGCAGCAGACTGGAAACACGGTATATTCCCAAGGAAAACAAGGAGGAGGCCCAGATATATCGTAATGACTCGAAATGCGTCCATGGCTGGAACATTCACCGGGAGATGTTAATAAACTCAATTTTTTCCCTCCCCCGCGCAGTGAAGTTAAATTCGAGGAGCTGCGTGAGCCAGAGATGGTGTGCGCTTCAGGGTCTGAGAGCAGCTAACTTTTGCGCTCTCCGGCCGCACCAGAAGAAGTGCGTTTTTCGCTCTGGACTCCACACAAGAGCGGAGACTGTTGGGCCGAAAAGAAACACGCCCACATGGTGGCTCAGTGCAGGGCTTCCCAAACAATTTTATGTCACAGACGTACTACAAAGCGTGCATGCTAGAGGACAGAGTGAAAGGGGGAAATAACAGTGTGGGAAGGTTTAGAATGTTTTTTGATTTATCAGTGAGTAAAATGCGTGCACGTGATAAATCTGATTTACTGTGAATGGCAAAAACTCGAGTTGTAACATTTTTGACATTTCTGTCTGTAGCTTGGAGCTCTTTTAAGGTAGTGGATTCAAAATGTAACGCAAAGTATTTACACGTCTCTGCTATTAAATAGTGCAGCTATTTTCTCTGCAGCACAATTACCCATTGCATGGTATGGTCTCAAACACAGAGAGTGAAATGTTACAATTAACCCCATAGTCTGGGTTAGTTGTAACATATCCTGGGGGTGAAATGTAACGCAATGAAATAAGGGTACTGACAAAATCTTAAAATGTAATCTTTTTTATTCAACACCTGAATGCGCTTAGATCTAGTTATGTAGCTATGTGTGTGTGTGACAGAATGCAGAAATCTAGCGTTTGAACATATACCAACCCCTAAAAAAAAGACAAATTATGGAATTTTCAACAACTGAAAATTTGATTAATTGTGGTTGGTCTTTCTTGAGTTTGGCCTCATTGGCTCAGTGGGCATTGTAACCTACAACTCTTGCACCAACCTTTGAACATAACAATGAAGCTGAATTACCGTTTTCATGGCTTACCTTGGTGTGGTTTGCAAAGTGCTTCAGAGAGATGAAGAAGTCTGTTTCTTGGACCCATCCTGATTTATTTCCACTACCAGTACTTCCTACTGGCCCATCTCTGACAAAGTGTTCTGCATAACGTATGCGTGGGAACACAAACATCGGAGGAATTGTGTTGCCAATGGCATTAACCGCATATACAAAGGTGACCAGTGAACCTCTCTGCTGATGTCATTACCCCAACTTGTTTAATATAAGTTAAAGTAATAGTGTGGTAAGTTGTAAAATCTGCATTATTGTTACAACTAACCCAGACTGTTGCTGTTACAACTGACCCAGACTCCTATAGCCATGAACTAGCTAACATTACAGCCAACGGCTAAAACATTAGCACTAAAGACCTACACAGAATATATCCCCATAGACATACAAATAACATAATTTAAGTTTGATGAGTTTAACTGCAAAGCAGACAATGCTATTAGAAATTGAAATAAACTTGCTTTTTGGCATACAAATTACTTTTTTTCTTCTTAAATTGTCCGTGTTTGCCAAAATGTGCTAATTTTTCACATGTGATAGAAGAACTGAATTGGGCATGTACAGGATGAGTCACATCATTTGAAACTTAGCCCTGACTGGAGAAATTGAAAGTGTTACAACTGACCGACGTTACAACTATCCCCGGTCTCCCCTATCTAATTTTGTGGATGAAATTATATGAGACATTTCACTGTTTCCTCTTATTAGCCTGTGTTTTTTCACTGGCAAGTTTGAAAAATTAAGCGTAGGCCTTGTCAAATTTGAGAAACACTGGAAGGGACTAACAGCCCTCCTTATCGGTAAGTCTGACAGTGTGAAAGCTTCCAAGGACGATGACGTTAGATTAGAGTTTAAGCGCAGATACGCTGAAGACACAAACGAAGTGATCGTAAAGTTGCGACATTTTTTAAAGAAATCTTTAAAGATTATTCATATTTTTAAAAAAAAAAATATACCAAATGTAGGGAAAACTAACTTTCAGGATAAATATCATTTGATGATTTCTTTCTTTTTCCGTTTTTACTTTAATGACTGAGTAGGCGTAGGTTTTCAGAGGCAGAAATGTCATTAAATAACCAGAGCCGAAAAGGTTCCTGGGTTTAAATGTAACTCAGTGGTGTGAACATTGTAAAGTTAAAACGCTCAGCCTCGGCGTAGAGCCCTTCAAATGATTTCGTCGAGACTCTGCTGACCTCCAATGGCCTCTAGCGTACATTACAAGAGGGAGGGAAGACGTTTCCCACGTCCGCGAACAGAACAGAGACCAACGTGGGAGCAGCTAAGGGTTAAAATGTAATTGGTGTTGAAACTTTTATTCGTGATTAGCTTTCACTCAAACCTAGCCACTTGTTTTAAAGCAGAGCAGACTGTGAGACAGAGTTTGGTGATGGAGGGGATTTTTTTTCCTACTCTGGTCAGTAAGAGTAGATATCCTTACTGTGGTCATCTCGGGTGCGCAGTTCTTGTCATGAGCAGCTGCTTGTCAAGATTTTTGTTGGCAAGAGGCAACTATCAGAAAAAAGCAGTTGTCCTCAAAGGAACTTTTAGCAGACAGTGAGAGGACTGCATCGTGGTCCAGTTAAAATAAACAAGGATTATTTTGAACTGTGAATCATGCAAAGCTACTCTAGTAGAGTCTGGGAACAAAAATATGTCAGTGGAGATGAGCACAATTGCCCCCCTTTAAAGAGATCATTCCAGATATTTGTGTAAATGTATTTACAACACATAAGGTCAGAAGCATCATAGTTTTGATTCAGATTTTGCATTGAGTTTCCCAGGCCTTATCTTGTCTGTCTCTTTGCATTAGTAGCAAACAGAAGAAAATTATCATAATGGCGAAAGACTCCAGTGTTATCCCAAACATCAGAATCAGACAGCTAATGATGATCAGAACAAATAAACTTATCAACAAAGGAAGGAGATGTGTGTTTGGTTAATGATTTCTCTGTTGTAACAATGCTTCTTAGCAAACAGTTCTACACTGTTGGAAAACCTGTTTATTTCCTTAAATGGTGCCACATTTGTAAGTACAATGAATTTGTGGGTTTTGTCCGTTAAAAACTTGACAAATCTTCTCTGTCATTGCTAAACAGCTTATTCTGTTGTTGACGACAATCAGGTGATTAGCATCTGATTAGCAACACCTGTGAGTATGGATCCTGCCACAGTATCAGTTGGTGTTTGTTCTGATAAGTGTTGGTTCTGAGCATATTGTGTTTGATATGGTCTACACCATGGGGCAACTTCAAGCCAGTGTTTCACAAAACCAAGTTTCAGCATTTTCTGGTACCATCTTGAGACTGAAGGCCACGTTCCATTTAACAGGAGATGTCAGAGACAGACGGACCAGACGATCTGGAACAGACTGCACACAGTCAATCTCCAGGCTCATAGGCCTGCCAGGAGACCTGCCATGACTGTCCTTCACTGTTAGGTCCATTTGTGGTGGACCTTGTGAAACTTGAGCTTGTGGAGGAATGTTATGTTCAGTGATGAGTCCTAATTCTGTTTACAGCGGTTGGATAATCAGGTAGTATGGAGAAGATCCGGAGAACGCTATGCTGATTGCTGCACTGATAGGGTAACAGCTTTTCGTTAGGCAGCGTGATGATGTGGAGCAGCATCTCCCTCACTAAAAAAAAAAAACAAGGCTTATCATCACTGGAGATGATCTCAATGCCGCGAGATGAGATTCTACAATCAGTGTCAGTCCCATATCTCCACAGTCTGTAAACAAACTCTGTCCTCCAGGATGACAATGCTTACCCCCACAGATTGGGGTTTATCAGAGACTACCTCCAGAATTTTGGAGTGCCCGCCTGCAGTCCTGACCTCAACCTTATTGAACACTTTTGACCAAACACAAATTCCTTTGTTTTGTGCTTAGTTTGTTTAGTCTCGGCTGTCTGGCTTCCATATACATTGATAAACTATGCTAATGGTAGTTACTGTTCTGAAAATACTGAATATTGCCCCCTTAGTCTTGTTGATTTAATGATTTATTGATAGTAACTATTGCAATGGCAGGTCTCTGTAAGGTCACAAGTGTTGTTCGCAGGATCCTATATGCTTCAGTTCAAAATAGATCCTAATAAAAACCTGCCCATATCTGTGCTCCCTTTAAATCATTAAAAAAAAAATCTTTTTTTAATTTAGAATTTACCACAAACAAAAATATACATTTTTTTTTGATAAGGAACATAAAGTAAGACACAACCTATAAAAACACAAGTAAACAAACAGGTGTACCATCTAGTTAACACACACACACACACATACATACATATATATCTATCTATCTAGCTATATAGCAGTTCAAAAATATGACATACAGGATTACAGAGGTTCAAACAAATTCGGGTCGCCTTGACAAAATGTAATGTTTCCATTTGTCCCAAATCTCAACAAACGTGTCATACTGAAATCTGTGAGAGAAGGTAATTTTTTTACATTTTAAACAACCTATAGACCGTCTCGTGCCAGTCATTTAGTGATGGAATTTTCACACTTAGCCATTTCTGAGTGATAGTCTTTCGGGCAGCCAGACTCAAAATGCCATATAACAGCTTGGTCACTTTATCCACATTTACTGAGTATAAAAATCCGTATTGCTTAACTGGTATTGATCTTTTACTGATTGGAAGTCCCTAAGAGTTCCCTTATCATAAAACATACAGTATGCCGTTAAGCCTTGTCCTACCCAGTTTTTATATCTCGCATCTATTTTATTGGGTAAAAAAATCAAGATCATAAGAGCACCATCTTAAGATCCTGGTCTCTTCATTCCAATCATTCTTGTTAAGAAATTGTAACCAAAGCTTTAAAGGCAAGTTAATCCATTGGTTTCCTTGATTAATTTGTTTTTTAATAAGTGTCACATCCCCTAAGTTTGCCTGAATTGGAAAATCTCTTGAGGCAACTATTTCTATTTCTTTCCATCTTGCTTGGTAGTCTACATTGCACCAACACACTAGGGTCCTCAGTTGAGCTGAAACATAGTAATCTTTCAAACATGGGAACCCCAACCCCCCTTTATCTTTATAGCCAGCTAGTTTGGTACTTGATTCATGATCTTTTCCCCTGTCATATGAACCTGGAAATTATTTTGTCCCACTCCTGAAATTGTTAAGTTCCATCTTTTAATAGCCTCATTTATTTTATAGCACAAAGGTTTCAAATTTGCA